GGGGTAAAATAGTCATTTTACCCTAAGGGTAGATATCAGATTCTGATTAAGTGTTTTGTGGGGATTATAGTCGGAGGATTTCCGGAGCAGCAGCAGTCAGAGATTCCCCGCACAGGTTATCAGCAGCTACTCGTTTGAGGTGAGTTACCTTTCAGTAGCGGTGGGTCTACGGCCACAATGCCTGCTCACCAGTAGGAGTTGTATGTTAGATGATTGTCTTTGTGACATTCATCTAGGGTTGCTACTACCTGATATGTTTATGTGCTAGCATGATATGTTATATGTTATATGTGATAGTGTTAGTAGGGGGAGAATAGTCCCCAAGTTCGGTCGTTAGGACCGAAGGGTAGGTCGGGCACCCCATAATTGTTTGGCAGTATATGTATGTTATGTGGTAGTGGTAGGGGGTGAAATAATCCCCGGTAGTCGGGTGAAACAGACCGACGGGTAAGTCAAGCACCCCAGAATGGCTTGACCTGGGTACGTCAAGCACCCCAGGATGGCTTGACCTGGGTAGTCAGGCACCCCAGAACTACCTGACAGTATGTATTGTATATGTGTGGTACGATGGGGGAACTCACTAAGCTTCGTGCTTACAGTTTACAGTTTTGGTTTCAGGTACCTCTTCAGCGAAGGGGAAAGAGCTGGCGCGGCAGCGGCACATCATACACACACGCATTGATTTTCCGCACTTGAGATATTCTGGGATTGTACTCTGACATGTTGCTATTATATGTTTTGGGTTTTCAGACATAATACATTGATTCACAAAATGATATATTGTTACACAGTTTTCTTATGAATGTTTTATAATCTGTTAATTAAAATGAAATTTTTGGACTCGAAATTTGGGATGTTACATTAGTACCTTTAGTTCATCACATTTTTCATGTTTAGGGTTGAAGGTTGCATTCCTCCACTTGTTGAATTGTTAGAATCTAGTGATGCTAAAAGTGCAAAGAGCTGCAGCGGGGGCCTTGCGTACACTAGCTTTCAAAAATGATGAAAACAAAAACCAGGTTGATGCTTTTATAATTTAGTGAAGCTTCTTTTTGGGATCAAGAACTAAATTTTGTCTAATATATCCATGAAACATTTGCAGATATTGGAATGTAATGCTCTGCCCACCCTTGTTCTAATGCTTCATTCAGAAGATGCTGCTATACACTATGAAGCTGTTAGTTTCTGTACCATTTCTTAAATACCAATCAGTGTGTATACATCTATTGCATTAGATATTTCAGTATGTTTGACTTTCTTTTGACTTTGGAAAGATGTAAAGGAAATGGCCAAAAGGATCAACGATTTATGTGGTAAGCTAATTTTATCGGAATAGAATCACGAATTCAAATTCTATCGGAATGGAAACACGAATTCTAATTATGTTGGAATGTAATATGGATTTTTTCTCATTGATTATACATGTTCCACAATTTTTGGTTATTGGTTTTGGTGCAGTTAACAAGTCCGCTTATTTTTCCAAAGGAATATAGTTTTTTATTTATTATTTGCTAATGCGTTATTGGATTCTAAACTACAATTGGATTTGTTTTCACAGAAGTTGATGCTTGAAGAAGTTGATGCTTGAAGAACGGTCAACAAAATTAAAAGTGTTTCTTAGCAACATTATTCTTTTAGAAAGAATTAGTGTATTTGTTAGATTTTGATGTTTTTTTTGTCCGGTTTGAAAGTTTTTTAGTTTTATTCTTTAACAATAAATTTAATTCTTAACAATTGTTACATGTATTCTATAAGAAATAATGTAATTTTTGTTTTAATTCTTCAATTGCTGGTTCGAGAATTTGTTATTCTACAAGAAATTTTTAAAGTCATAATCAAGAAAATTTGTTATTCTAGAATATTATTATTTTTGAACATACTCAAACATATTATGTCAGAATGTCCGAATTAAAAACCTTATAATTAGTAAAAATCAGATTTTTAAAATTAATAGAATCTATGATCCCTTAAAATATGCAAGTTTTCTGTATTAAATATGTATTAATTGACTAAAATATCCTTCTACTTAAATTGGATGGTATTTTTCAATTATTTTTAATTCAATAATATGTATTAATCACTTTCTTAAAATAAGTAAAATGATTGGTCCACATTTATACATACAATAACACAATAATTAGTTTTAATTGAATAACCTAAGTCTAATATCATATTGTTTATATATATTAATTTTATGTTCAGTACCTGACCACAGGTACTGTTCATGGGTTATCTTACATGGTTAGTCACCACTTCAGCCTTATCTTCTCTTATTTTCCATCGCCTCACTCCCCGATCCTTCCACCGTCTCATCTTCGAACTTCCCCACCGACTCTCTCACCCAACATCTGTTTCCACTGCTTCTCTTCTACTTCTTCACTGCTTCTCGAACCTTTTTTTTCCCACCGCTTCATGTTATCTGTAGCTCCTCCATTAGACGTTCCTCCATCAAACGACGCAATAGATTTTTCAATAGACGTTCCTTTTACTTCCGCCTGCGTCGAACTCTAAACGACGCCATAAATTTCTTCTCCGGTCTTACTTAGACATATACGGATGTCGATCGATTCCATTCCTGTTATTTTCTCTTTTAGGAGACCACCTCTAATTGTACGTGCTCTTTCGGTGAAGTCGCCGCCTGTTTGAAGACGATGGGTACAAGGGTTTTTTCAATTGTATGCTTTCATTCCTGCATGTTCCATTTTTGGATTTTGACATTCTTTTAATCTTGATTTTATGCGATTTATAGGTTGTGAAAGCTGTTGGAGAGAAGTGGAAATCCATGAGTGCAATTGGTAGGTCGGTTGAAGGAGTCCAAAGCATCTATTGTTTCCGATTTGGGGGTGTTTCGGAGACGGCGGCCCATCAGGAGGTGTAGTCGTTCATGTTTTGTTAATAGCGGGTTGACCTAAGAATATACTTAGGGGTTTATATAAGCAAAAGGAGACGAACGATTGATTCAGGTACAATCCACTTGGTGTTTTATATTTCCAGTTGTTTTAGTATGTTTTGTTATAAACACTTTCGTTTGCCCCTATTCTTCTTCAATTTTTGTTTATAATTTGTTTCATTGCATTTATTTTGAAGCTAGGTTTTACCGATTTTGTGTAATTCACATCCATCTTCTTGCTGTTTCTTCTCCGATCAGGTGTTCCTGATCTCAGATGACAAAATACATATACAAAGTACAAGCTACGTCTCATATTTCAAGGTTAGTCTTGTCTCATATTGAAAGGTCAGTTTTGTCTCTATCAGATTAGAAAGTACAACCTACATGTATGGATTTACTTCAACTAACTTGAGTACACCAGTAGAGATGTCATTGTTTTTCCTATTATTTTGTGTGAATTCTTGCTTGACCTGTTTGCTGTCAAATGTTGGATTGATGCTCTTATTAGTTTTTTTTTTCAGGAAAAATGAGGATATAAGCTATCGCTTTGTCTTTCCATATATGTATATGCCTGTGTTGGTTTATGAGTGGATTGCAGGGTGTATCTAATTATAATTTTGCTTTCATTTGGTTATGCATCCATTAGGATTTGGTAACTCTAGGGCTCTAACAGTAAGTGATGTTTGATTGTTTGATTGCCTTTTTTGCATCAGTAATGGTCAAAATACCAATTTACCCTTTGTTTGGATGTGTATTTGCTTACCACTCCTGTTTTAGTTTATTTTTAGGTGAACCAAATTGTTTACTTCATGGACATGATGTGCCTGCTTATGATATTAAGTTCTATGGTGATTGTAAAGATTTTTGATCTTCTTTTGTTCATTAAATTCAATATAGTGAAGCGACCCTTAATTAAGTCAAAAGGGCAAAACCACTTAACTATACAAATGCTTTAATTTTCATCACCAGACCAAATTTCCAGTGAGTCTAATCCCTTTTTGTTTTTTCATGCTATTTTTAATTATTATACAGTCCCTTTTCATTTTGGGTTTTTTATTATATGCGTATGTGAACTCTTTTACTTTAAATCTTTATGTGAATTTAACTTGATTTTGCAGAGAGGAGTGTTCCTTCTGCTGCAAACTCTAGATTATCACCACTTCCTCATGAAGATGCAGACTTTTATGACAGGACTGGCCCTGTTGACATTCCTCTTGTTTCAGCTGTTACATATTAAACCATTTTAACTTTTCCTTATTTTTTTTTTCCATAAATAAAATTGGGTGAACCTGGGTACAATGAAAGATGTTATAAGGAGAAGGTAAATTTATCACATCTAAAGGAGATTGAAGAGGTTAAAAGGAAAATGGTGAGTTACTTTGAGTCTTTTAAATTTTACCATAAGTTTGATTAATAAACACAAATTAAAAATGAATGATCGCACCAACTACTAAGGCTGCAGATCATGTTGTTCTTATTAACTACAGATGAAGTTTCTCTAATGTATATTATCTATCTTGCTGATTGTCCAACATGGGCTGATAAGTCGAACTGATGATGATAAAGCAAATAGGACAACATTGACTCCAACAAAGAAAAGATGTTGAACTGGATGAAGAAAAAGGACAAATTTTCTTGCAAATATGTGGCTTTCCCCATTGTTTAGTGGCAAGTCATTCTTTAAAATCATCAATCTTAGCTTGATATATTGTCACTGTGGTGAAGGCTTAGGATCAAAATTCAGAAGTCCATGGATTTTGTTGTTGGATTCACTCTCCATCAACTAACTGGAACATGTGATAAGAAAGTAATGTTTCATTTATATTCATTCATCTGTCCTTTTATGCTTCTAGGGTTTGTTTGGTTCATGAATTCTAGCAGAATTGTAATATGAGATTCTATTCCATTGCATGTTTGGTTGCAATAACTGCATTCCGTTTCATTGTGGAAAACAAAACCCTTTCTGATCCATGCGGAGCATGGCATCTTCCCTAGTTAAAATTAAAAAATGCATTATATATGTGGTTTCTCTAGTTAAACATAAACTTTATTTTATTTTCTGAAAAAGGCTTTTTATTTTTTTATTTTATGAAAGGAAAAAAATACCTGCCATATATAAGAGTTTTTCGAAAGAAAAAAAAAAGGTAAGGGTGCGTTTAGTTGTGGAAAAATAAGTCGTTTTCCGGAAAAATTTTCCAAAAAAATGAAAATTTTGAAAACACGTTTAGTTCGTCTATTTTTTTAAAATTTCCACGGAAAATGAAAATTTTCTGTTTTCTAAAATTACAAAGAAGCAGGAAATTTTTGGAAAACCATTAATTATTGTTTTCCATATTTTTTTAATTCCAAAATATTTCTAAAATATAAACACACATTTACTCCCACCTCTACCTACCCCCATCTTAACATTTCCAATCCACCACACCCCTACCTATCCACTCCCAAGCCCCCTCCCCCCATCTCACCCCCCCTCC